TACTTGCCAGACGTTTATATGGCAGATCTGTAGAGGTGTAAACTTCACTGACTTCGAAGCTGGCTTTTAAAACTATCGAAAATGTATTATTTCATTCAAAGTAATCTAGTGGTGAGTCTCCCCCAGTGCTCTCCTTTAAGATAAAGGCGTTTTCCTAGAAGGGCTTGTGCTGTACTTGTGCCGATTTGATTCTGAGTCAGTAGTTCAGTCAAATGGTTCCAAAAGTAAGCTTGTTGCATACATGGAAATTCACAGCTAGTGCCTCAGATTGATGCAAAGCCAAATGTCCTGCTGATTTGCCTCCTCGTGGTACAGATACTTCAGCTAAACAGATTCCTGCAAAAAAAAAGTTTGGGTGGTGTTGCTTTAAAGCTTTTTATTTGTGTATCTTCGTTTGCCCTGTTTTGATGAATTTTTTTATAAGCTTAAAAACCCAGTGCAATTTTAAGAGTACTTTTAAAATGGACTGTGCAGGTTTTATCTTAATGTTTTGATGGTTAACTTGTATCTCATCCTTTAGGCACAGCACTATGAATCAGGAAAAGCTGGCCAAGCTTCAAGCACAGGTCCGAATAGGAGGAAAGGTAAGAAAACCATCAGAGCTGTGCTGTTTCCTGTAATATGTAATATTTTTTGAAAGAGAAAGATCTCCAAAACTTGCTTTTCAGAACTTTGGCTTTAGTGCATGGAATGGGGAAGAATGTATTTTGAGGCCTGAAAAACACGATTTTTGTGTGATCTGAATTGTAGTACTCCTGCATGAAATGCAGTTTTCTCTCAGTTAGCAACTGAGTAGTTGCTGGATGAGTAGTTTCCAGCATGTCAGGTTTTAGTTCAGTGACTTCTTGTGACCTGTGAAAGCCCAAGCTAAGCTTATGTGTTGGTCACTCCAGTTCTGCCTTTCTCGTCCCTCTGTTGGGGTGTTCCTTCCTTTGTGTCAGCTCCAGGGCTTCTCTGACTCTTCACTGAGCTGTTTCTTTTCTCTAAGCCAGCAGGTAGCTAATATGACAACCAAGTATGTTTGTTCAGTGTAGGTGTCCATCACCTAACTGTAGGTGGGGTTGTGCAAAAGTTTGCAGAGTAGGAATTCCAAAATTGCTATCTATCTTAATTACTTCTTTACAAAAGTGTAACCTGTTAAAGTCACTATGTTTGTGCTTTGTCTTGGGAAAAAATAAAATTCTTGGGGAAACTTTCTTATTGCTTATTAGTAAGTAGTATTTTTATAATCTGTCTTGCAGGAAGGGAAAATACTGCCACTGTTTGATGTCTTTTTGGTCTTCTATGCTTAAGAAAACCCTTAAAATTGAGACTGACAGCTAAAGTTGTAGGCAAGGGGAGATGAGTTGAGGAGCATTTTTTACTAAGGAGCCTTCTCATGGCTTAATAAGCTGCTTAGAATGTGATGTGGCTTTCAAAATTAGCATGAGATTTTTGAGTGTAGCTGACTTGCCTTCTCTCTTTCCCAGGGAACAGCTCGCAGAAAGAAGAAGGTGGTGCACAGAACAGCTACAGCTGATGACAAAAAACTTCAGAGTTCCCTCAAAAAACTGGCTGTAAATAACATTGCTGGCATTGAAGAGGTATAGTGATAAGTGTTTTCTGTTTGAAATTAAATTCACTGTATTTTTTTTGGTGGTGCTTTGTTTTTTTTAAATGACAGTTTTAAAAAAAAACTTACGGGTCTGGTTACCGATAGGTGAAGCTACTCGATTCATCGTTGCCATGTTCCCATTAACCCATACATACCTAGAGAAAGAAGGGAAAAGGTTCTGATGGCCAGGTAGTGTTAATAGGAGCTAGTAAGCTGTTATCTATGTGTTGGGTTCGTTGCAGCACAAAACTTCTTGATTCTTGGCTTTATGAACTTGGTTACCTACTCTGAAGAGCAGTAAACACACACACACTGGGCAAGCATGTCTAAAGCAAGAGTTGTGTGTTGCTGCATATAAAGAAAAGCTTTAAAAGTGCCTGGATTAAGAACATGCAAGTCTGTATTACCAACTAGGTCCTTCTGCTGCATGAAAATTGCCAGAATTGTTTGTAGTAGTCATAGGAGGTGACATTACCTACAAGATGACAAAGACTCTGCGGAGCTAGGTTCTGCATTGATGTAAGTAGAAATATAAAAGCTTCAGGTTTTCCTCATACACTTCTGTTCTACCTGTATAAAATATGAGCTCACTGACATTTTCCAGGACACTGTAGAGAGTGATGCTCATACGTGATGGGAGGAGGTATTCCTTCATTGTGAACTCAATTAGTACTTGGCTAGAGAAGCATAATATTTAATCTGTGATTAATTTAAGACAGATTGCAAGGTGCCTCCACTTAGTGCATTCCTCTCTTTCAAAAAGACAAATGCAGGTTGAGTGAAGTGTGGTTTACCTGTAGATTTTCATACTTACATTTAGTTTGTTTCTTAAGCTTGGTGTTTGTATGCTGAGCTATACAAACTCAAAGGAAGACATGGTTCTTCTGAGGTTTTTGTTTTGTTTGTTTGGGGTTTTTTTTATTTGTTCACATAGAGCATAAGATCATTGTTCAGGGTTCGCAGAATCACAGAATGTTCAGAGTTGGAAGGGACCTCGGAAGATCATCTAGTCCAACCCCCCGCCAAAGTCCAACCCCCCTGCCACCCAGAGTAGGTCACACAGGAACGCGTCCAGACGAGTTCTGAATGTTTCCAGAGAAGGAGACTCCACAACCTCCCTGTGCAGCCTGTGCCAGGGCTCTGTCACCCTCACAATGAAAAAGTTGTTTCTAATGTTTTTGTGTTAATAAGGATTTTAGATGTCTTGATATGAAGGAAGGTGGTGCTTCTTGCATCTGTGTTGATAGTTAGGAACATAATGGTAGTATGTTGGTTTTAGGTAGACACAAGTTGACCTTGGTAAACTTTGTGTGGGTAGAAGAGTGTGAGGAGGCTGATAATGTTGAGTCAAACATGAGTAGCTCATCTGTGTGGTTAACAGAGGCCTTTAATTAACATGATGACTGTGCTTGAAGCATTTACCATTTCCCAGTGTGTAAGGGGCAGGACATCCTTGAGCTTTGTAGGAAAGCGATGCACCTGATTTTAGTGTTCAAAGCATATTTTGAACTCTGCAGCTTTGTGAAGATTGATAACTTACATGGTTTTTATATTTTGGATCTCTTCAGTTCCTAAATTTTTACTTTTTCCTTGTAACTTTGAAGAACAATGCTTAGGAATTTTGTCACTTAAGTTTACTACTGCTGTTTGGTTGGATGGGTAGAACTCTCTTGCTTTTATTCAGAGAAAATTATCTTCCATGTAACAATAGTTTAGCCATGCGCAGCTTAAAGGGAGACAGAATGGAAAAAAAGGTACCAGAAACCCACAGAAATACACCACTAAAAGCTTTGGTGAGCAAAGCAGGCTGGTATAGTAGCTGTAAAATTTAATTCTTGGTGATTCAGAAGATGAGGGAGAGCGTGGGGACACTCTATGATGTACTTAACTCCATGATGACTCTTTTAAGACTATTAGGAATACATAGAAGCCTGTTCTAGTGCTGTTGGTACCTAAACCTCTGGTGCTGTCGGTACTTGTGCCGGCAGTATCCTTGCCTTGGGCAGCCTCAGCAAGTAGGGCAGATTGTGAATCCTGTGCCTTTGCCAGTTTTGCTGCAGAAACAATCATGTTTTCCTGATAGGTGACACAGATGGCTCTCTTAAACTGGTGTGGCAAGGCTTTTCTGTTAGAGCTTCTGTTAGAACTGTATGATAGCATGTAATCTTCACATATTATGACAGTGTTTAGGTGAGAGTATATTATGAAAGAACCGTATTTCTTAAATTCTACCTTTTCATATAGTGCGTATGAACCGATATTTTAACAGTAACTCATATTTTCCTTCCAGTTTAGGTGGTGATAATTCCAGGTGCTTGTATCATGGCTATATTTATCTTTAGGAGGAGTGGTAGTTTTAGATTTTTTAAAATGTATTTTAATATTTAAAATCTAGATTTGAATTAATAATGTGTTGTGCTTGTTAAACATGATGCTGCAACATTTTGGTCAATGTTATTAATATATTTAAACAGGTGAACATGATAAAAGATGATGGAACAGTTATTCACTTCAACAACCCCAAGGTTCAAGCTTCCCTCTCTGCTAACACTTTTGCAATTACCGGCCATGCAGAGGCTAAACCGATCACAGAAATGCTTCCAGGCATCTTAAGCCAGCTTGGTGCTGACAGCTTAACAAGTCTCAGGAAGTTAGCTGAACAATTCCCAAGACAAGGTAGGTCTTTGGAATCTTTCATTGCCAATTTAAAGAACATGTTGAATATTATAAGTCTTAACCTAAATCTAATAACAGCATGTGTGACTTGAAGTGATCAAAAGCCTTTGTGCTTTATTTACTTGCCACTATTGTGGAAGTATAGTGGAGGGGACCCTTCTTTTTGTTCCTGC